CATAATTCAATCCATGACAGTGGCATTCTCTGAGGTTATAATATTTAAAAAAGAATTGTGGATGTTCCTATTGCCTTTAGTCTCTAGACTTAAAAGAAGTAGTACCACAATTAAATGATGCCCTGACTTTTAGAGTCATGCTAATTCTAGTAATTTCACTCATAGGAAATTCATCAGCTTAGTCAGTTAATTCAAGCAATGGTTTTTGAGCCACTGGGACCATAGCTATATGACTAACGGAGATTTATTCTCTACCTTTGCAGAGCTGAGGGCTTTGTTTTTCCAAGTGAAAAAAAAAAATGAGAGTACCTAAAAGTATTTGTACCATAACTTACTGTGTGTAAGTTCAGATTTTATATTGCATTTCTGTCATGTTCATGAATTTCTATATTATCTGGGTATTTAACACTGTAGGTCAAAGAACATAAATAGGAGATGAAAGAAGGTCTTGAATCCATATCCTTTTCTGTCATCAAAGGGAATCTTCCATAACTGCTCTGCCCATCCCAGCTGTCCTCACCTGCCCCAGTTACTCCAGCTGCTCCATTTACCCCCACCCTTTTCCTGCTAATATATTCTCCCATGCAGGAATCATGCCTTGAGTTAAACCCCCACAGAAGACAGCTACTACTGGCCCCTCCGTCCTCCCTCTGAAACGTCTCTGTTACCCTGAAGAGCTGTGTCACACTACTTTGACTCTTTTATTTTTATAAATAGTAAAACTGCCTAGCAGAGTAGTGGTGGCTGAGCAAACTGGTAATTAAAGCTGTCACTTGCTGACATAGTTTATCATATTTAGTTGACACAGTTTTGTTGAAAGAACTAGTTTAACAGCCACAACCCTACTTGTAGGTCTTAAACTCAAATGACAGAGTTGTAATGTAAGTTGAATTTAAAGTGCCCTTGCTTTTCAAATGAAATCTTGTTCATATCTCGTTTTAAATAAACAAAAATAGATAAAACATTGAAAACATAAAGTACATCTTACTATCTATAGTTTATAAGCATGCAGATATAGATCAATAACTAGAAAAGAGGCATTAGGATATAAATACATTTTAGTTCCAAAATATGAAATAAATGCTTAGAAACTGCATGTTTTTTCATATTCCTCATGTTAGCATTATGAACAAGGCATATAAATTCTAAATAAAATTGGAGCTTTTAAAGTATACAGCTGTTCAAAAACAATCTGGTCAGTGCTTTATTTTATTAAATGAACATTTTCATAGGGTTACTATGTTTCAGGTTCCAATCTAGGTCTTTTACAATTATTAAATTATGAGTTAAGCCTCATATGAACTCAATGAGCTAGATATTACATTTTTACTACTATTTTATAGATGAGAACATTGAGGCACAGAGATATTAAATAATTTGCCTAAAGTTACACAGTTAATGAATGGCAGAGCCAGCATTCACACCCAGATTTGGTGCCCTTGACCCCTGGGCCATGCCACTTCCCTGCCGATATACTAACAATGTATAGGAGAGGGTCTTTTACTAAATTAGACTAACGTACCTGAAGCCATGAACTATAGCCCACCCTGACCATCCCTTTGTTCAGCCATTTTCATGACTTGAAGGCTCTTCCTTAAGAGTCGTCTTGGACTCTTGCTCTCTGGTAACTCTGTAGCCATGGAGTGATGGATCAGAGGGTATAAACATTTAAAATTGTCATGGACATTTTTGCCCTTGAATATGTCACACCGAAAGGTGTGATAGTGCCTGAGGATTTTCATGCCATTTTCTTGTTTTATTCAGTAGTTGATGACCAAACACCTCAACAAGAATATTTGCCTGTAGTGTGATTTTGCTTATAGAAACATTTTGTTTCTCACCATCAAAAGGTGTTATTGAATTTGTCCTCACTTCTAAGCAATTTTCTATAATGGCTGTGTTTCAACAGTTGGAGAATAGAATTTGAGGCATTACTATAATTAAGGTTTGATTTTCTTTGATATTTATAAACACCAAAGATATCAGAAATATGCAGATAGTGAAGATTTAGAAGGTTAATCTTTCACATTAAGGGAGATTTTCTGGTTTCCTGGTTTTTTGTTTTGTTTTTTGATGGTTTATTATACTAATCTTAAAAAACCAAAAACCAAACTCATTGCCATCAAGTCGATTCTGACTCATAGTGACCCTTTAGGACAGAGTAGAACTGCCCCCATAGGGTTTCTAAGGCTGTAAACCTTTACTGAAGCAGACTTTCTCATCTTTCTCCAGCAGAGTGGCTGAGGGGTTCGAACTGCTAAAACATTCTGGTTAGCAGCCAAATGCTTTAACCACTGCACTACCATGGCTCCTTATACTAATCTTAGAGACTTAAACATATCCAATGGTCAGAAAAAATGACTGATTTCTGTTTTCTAAACTAATCATAAAGTTTTTGTTTGTTTTTATCACATATTAGGGAGTCATTTCACTTAACTTCCTATTTGGGGTCTACCATGTATATTCAAGCCTGAAGGCAACCAGCTTACAAAATTGGTTCCATGTTTTAACTGTGCAAATAAGTTATCAAGTGTTGAGTGTATTTTGTTTTATCCACAAGCAACCTTACACCACAATGGTGTCATCTGAAAGGGTGATTTGTCTTTGTATTTTGGTATGCTGACATTTTACACTCAAATTAACTGCCTGCCTGCACTTTGCCACCAAAAGAATTTTAAAGACTTCTTGATCTGTGTGCAAGTTATCCTTTCCATAACAAGGCAAACCTCAAGCACAGTGCCTTCTGAGAGTATTCCCATTGTAAGTGCAAACCACAATAGGGAAAGGTAGTCACCTTTCACTGTAAGCCCCTCCTAGTATGCTACAGCTGACATCATCACTAATTGGTAATGAATGCCAGCAGTGGATTCCCTCATTGTGGTCTTTTTGGCATAGAACATTCAAGAGCTTGTATGCTCAGTCATCCCACAAAAGACAAAAGGGATTGTTCAAGTTGTCTTTTACCCTGTGTAACCAAGGCTTAATTGACTTCAACAGTTGCCAGGGAGAAAAAGCTTGTCATTAAGAAAAGGAGACAAAGGGAATCAAGCATTTCTTAGTGAAGAGGGCATGAGATCCAAAATTAAATGTGTAGGGCCTGGGGATAGAGAGTTAAATGAGACCTGAGATTTTTTAAAACAGTGGCAAATGATAGGTGGGGTGAGGGATGGTGATATAGTTACAGGAGGAGGTATTGCTAACTCAATGGAGTACCATATTTTTTTTGCATATAACAGTGACCATGAAAATAATGCATACACATGCACATATAATGCCTATAGCACACACAGGAAACTAACACAGGAGGGGGTTGCAAGGTTTGCAAAAACATGAGTGATGTGTGCATTATTTGCATAAAATAAAGCTATCTTTACCTCTTCCTTATTACTTTGTATTGTTGGCTTTAGAAATGAACACCTTAAGAGAACTTA